GCCGACGGTCCGCGGCCGCCCCGCCGCTTGCCGGGGCCCGGCCTGCAGGGAAGAAAGGTATACTCCCCAAAGGGGTTTGATCGAAAACGAAGAGGGCGGGTATCGAGGGTTTGGGAACTAGGCGTTATTGGACACTCGAGCAGATAAGGGCGAACAGTCTTAGCATTGTTGTTGTTGTTGTTGTTGTTGTTGTTGTTGTTGTTGTTGTTGTTGTTGTTGTTGAACTCTCATTTCTGAAGAATAATTCTTGTTGATCCCCCCCCAACCGGTGCAGACTGTTTTTTCTCAATCAAAATGTGCCCCTCGACGCTCGCATTTTGTTTTTTGACAGGGAAAGTCTTCCTGCTCAAACTGGGGGCCCTTGGCCCCCGGATTACAACAACAACGGCTCGCTCTTGAGACTTCCTTACCATTTAGCCAGGACCCCCGCTCCCGCCCGAGACTTCCTCGCATTTTATTCAGGAATCGCGCTCTCGCTTGGGACTTCCTTGCAATTTATTCAGGAATCGCCTTCCCGGCGCCCTGGAGCCGCGCTCTCGTTGGAGACTTGCTTGCAGCTTACGGAAGAATGGCCTTGCGTTGAAATTTCCGGCAATTTGCCCAAGCGCCGCGCTCCCGACACCCAGGCACCCAGGAGTCGCGCCCGTTGTGGCCTCATGTGCGTGCCCTTCGTAGCCCCGCTGTCGCCATTTGTGTCCCCCTCACTGTCCTACGCCTTGGTTCAGAACTGTAGCCAAACGCTCTGTCGGCAGACCCAGCTTGAGATGGGGTGGCGCGTTCCGTACATGATATGATTGTAATTTCTCTGATACACTGAATGTAAATGTGCCCGCGGCGCGCTGCTAGCTGCCCCCTCTCCTCTCCTTTCCTCTCCTCTCCTCTCCTCTCCTCCTCCTCCTCCTCCTCTTCCTTCTCCTCCTCTTCCTTCTCCTCCTCCTCCTCCTCCTCCTTCTCCTCCTCCTCCTCCTCTCGCTCTTCTTGCCAGCGAAGGTTCTCTGACTGAGAACCTGTACACCACAGGATTTTATCAATCGCATTTTCCTGCGTGTGCTCGTTGCCGACATTCATCTTCCGACATGCTCAGCGCACGGTCTGCCCTCTAGGGGACCGTTCCGGTTACCGGAGCTGGCACGCAGACTTCCGTTCCGTTCCGTTCCGTTCACTGTCCTACGTGGCCCAGTTGCTACTTTCAGTGGCCCCATAGTTGCCTTCTGTGGCCCCGCATTATCTGCACTTCGTAGCCCCCGCTCGTTCGCGCCTTTCGTGGCCCCATACGCATTCCCTTCGTGTCCCCGCTGTTGCCCTTCGTGGCCTACTTCGTGCCCTTCGTGGTCCTGCTGTCGTTCTCTTTCGCTCTCGCCTTCGCTCGTCGTCGCCGTCGTCGTCGTCGTTGCCGTCGTCTTCGACGTCGTCGTCGTCGTCGTCGCCGTCGTCGTCGTCGTCGTCGTCGTCGTCGTCGTCGTCGTCGTCGTCGTCGTCGTCATCGTCGTCGTCGTGGTTCGACGGTCCGCGGCCGCCCCGCCGATCAGCGCTGCCGCTGGCCAGGCCGACGGTCCGCTGCCGCCCCGCCGCTTGCTGGGGCCCGGCCTGCAGGGAAGAAAGGTGTACCCCCAAAAGGGGTTCGATCGAAGACGAAGAGGGCGGGTATCGAGGGTTTGGGAAATAGGCGTTACTGGACACTCGAGCATATAAGGGCGAACAGTCTTAAAATTATTGTTGTTGTTGTTGCTGTTGTTGTTGTGGTTGTGGTTGTGGTTGTGGTTGTTGTTGTTGTTGTTGTTGTTGTTGTTGTCGTTGTCGTCGTCGTCGTCGTCGTCGTCGTCGTTGTTGTTGTCGTCGTCGTCGTCGTCGTCGTCGTCGTTGTTGTTGTTGTTGTTGTTGTTGTTGTTGTTGTTGGGGGGCGAGGATGACCTTCCCGCTCCATTGGTGTTGTGGATATCCCCGACTGCACCAGCAACGGCCCCCGCTTGAGATCTCTCTAGAATCCTTGACGCCTCGCGTATCCCCACCAGCCGGCAGGTCTCAGGCGATGCAATCCCCCATCTGGCAAGTGTCTGCTTCCTCCCTTGGTCGGGCCCCCTCCCTCTTGCTCCCCCCTTGGCTCGAGGAGTGGCGGATCTCTGCACTTTGACCGCGCTGGCCCTGGAGGTGGCCTCTTGGAATACCGGCTGCAAGGGCCCTACGCTACCGTTCGCTCCCGCCGCCGTAGGTCGACTTCGTGGTCTCCTCGCCTCTCGCGACACCGCATCCGAGTGGATAGGTTCGGGTATGTTAAGAGTTACGACAAATACAGGCTGTTCGGCAAGGTGCGGTCGTGTACTACTTGGTCTGCGCCTGAGCTGCGGCTTAGCCCTCTGTTCTCCGGTCTTGTCTTCCTTTCTCTGTGCCTCGTTGCCGCTGCCGCATCTTCGTCCTCGTCCGCCCCTCGCTTTCGTCCGCCACAGTCTTTGCTTTGGTAGCTTTCGCCACCTCCGTGGCCCTTTTCCGCGCCTCGCTTGCGACAGCAGGGCTTCCGCTTGTCTTGCGACTTTCGGACGCCGCGCGGGTGCCCGCCTGCGGTCGCGATCAAGAGCATCCCCGCCAGCTCATCCAGACACGAGGGGTTTTGGCAGAGAGAGAAGACAAAGTCCGTTAAATTACTTACGCCCGGAGGGCCGGTATGACTTAGTCAGGACCCCCGCTCCCGGCTGAGACCTTATATCGATTTGCCCACTGGCGCTCTCGCCTGGGACTGCCGCGCCACTGATTCTTCAGAAACCGCGCTCTCGTTCAATATCGTTTGACCGATCCCCATCCCCATCCCCGTCCACATTCCACATCTCGAGCCCCGCCGCCTCACCACCACAGTTGGGGATATGCCCCTCGAAACCCGAACAGAGCAGCCTATATCCCCATCCAGAGGGGTAAATCGGCCAGTGGGGCCCAGCCCACACTGGTTGGTATGGGGATCGATTAAATGATGCCCACTCGTCATTCAAGAATTCGCCCGTCAGGGTCCGCTGGGTCGACTGCTTGGAAGCACGCCCGCTCGCTTTAAAGTGTGCCCCCCCGCCCGCCCGACCTGCCCGCCGGGGTCCGCCCGCCCGACCCTCCCACGGGACCCGCCCGCTCCGACCGCCACGGTCCGCTGCCCGCCTGACCGCCCGTTACTGTCCGCCAGGCCGATGGGTTGAAACTCATCATCCGCCTGCTTTAATGTTTCGCCCGCCCGACCCGCCCGACCCGCCCGCCTTCAGTCGGGCCTGTCCCTCTACAGGAGGAATCTTCGGAAATAGTTCAAAAATAATCGAGGGACGATTTTTCGATTATTTTTCGACCATGTTTGCATATTTTTTGGCTCCCCTGTTCTCCGCCTGTAGGAGGACACGCCCAACAGAACGCCCGCCCAAAGGGGGTATGATTATAAACGAAGAGGACTTGGGTCGAGGGTTTGGGGTATACGCGTTGGATGGCACGTGGGCAGGGAAGATCGAACAGTCTTTGTGTGGCCTCTGCTGCTGCCCAATGGATGCTTCATCAGTTCGGCATCTAACGTATTCCGGGACCTCTCGTCGCCACGGCTGGACGTGGCTCGGAAAACGGGTCATGATGACGCTTGGGATGTGGTCCAAGGCAGGATTTCCATCGGATTCGGCGGAAGGGCGATGACTTCTGTGCGTCGTGAAAAGAAAAGGCGACGGGGTTTTCCCGCCTCGGGCCCCGGGACCATCGAGGATCGACCCGGCTCGAACAATCGGGCAGGCAGTTGGGGTGGAGAGCTCCAGTTGCGTCTTTTTCGGGCCGACATCTGATGCCCGACAGGATGTTGGGATGTGACCCCGTCAGGCGGACAGTTTCGCAGCTCTTCTCAGGTCAGTCGATGTCGCGAAATTTTAAGCGCAGGCGGGGGCGCCCCTGGAAGATGGGGGCAGAAACACCTTTCGCCCGTGCTGTCCGAACCGCGGGGGGCGAGCGCACCTTCGGGGAAACGTAATCACCGAGCGCGTTCCATTACTCGCAAAGTGCCTACTCGCAAACGTCGGAAAGACAAATGTCTGCCTCGATGTAATGGATGGTAGATCCCCCACGGCGGATCCAGGCCACTTGCGAGTAGTTACCTTGCGAGTACTGGGCCGCGCTTGCCTACGTAAGACTCGAGTGCGCCGGCGGACCTCGGGTTCGCCTGCGCTCTTCGGCGAGCCCGCCCTGGATTTTGACGGTCCACTCCCGCGTCAGATTTCAGAATGGGCCTCGTGGTTTTCTTGACGGTCCCGTTTCGGGGGTTGCTAAAGGTGCTCCTGGCCCATGGTGCCCCCAGCTTTTCGCTCCATTCTGGAGCTCCTGGGGCCCTCTGGGCCTCACGAGGGGTGCTCTGGAGGCCCTGGGGGCCTCCTTGGAAATCCTGGGGGCACCTTGGGCCAGGGGCTCTTCTAGCAGCGCCCGACCGTCGGGCCAACCCGAGTTCCCCGAGCCCGAGTCTTACGCCTCCCCGACACCCCCCGCGCTGAGCGGCGACACGTGCGCCTCTGACACTCCGCTTTTCTCCGCGTGTCCGAGCGCCGCTGCCGCTCCCGGCCCTTCCCGGCGCTTCGCGGAAACACATCTTTTTCTGTTCCCCCAGAACTGCCCCGACGCGAACGGCTACGTCGGCGGCAAGATCGAGAGGACGTTCGGAATCAAAATCGGTGGAGGGGGGGAAGCGAGAAGGCGAAGGCCTTCTCAGCGGGCTGCGGGCCTTCTCAAAAGGTCGCCGGCCTTTGAGAGGTTTCCTGTGTCTTCGGGGAAGGCTCAGAAAACTTCTCGGAAGGCCAGGGGACTTCTGAGCCTTCTGAGATGGCCCGCCCCTTTTCATTTCCCCCCCTTGCTCGCCGCCGACACAGACCGGTCTGGTCAGCGTTCGGGTCGCTCGAGTCCTTTCAGGTGATGCCCAGGAGGTCCGAGCACTGACCTGGCTCTTGGTGGCCCCGAGGCGGCAGTTCCACGGCTGCCGGGCCAGGCCAGTGCTCCGGTGGCCCTGATGGCGCTCGAGCAACTCCCTTGGAACCCAGCGATGACATCCTAGACATCTGGCGTCCCGATTCTTTCGAGACACGGGCCCCCGATCTCTCGACCACTTCCCTGGGTCAGATTTTTCATCCCGAGTATTTTTGTTTGACGGTCCTGGGGCCCGACACAGGCCCCCGAAGGCCATAAGTGGAGAAAAACCAGCCGTTTCGTTTTTGTCGAGCCGCCAGATGTCTGGGCTGACTGTCCCGTAGACACGCTAAGAGCGATGCAGGTAACGGCGACGTATATTTCGGTATTGCAGGTGGGCGTGTTTCGTGGCCAAGCCACTTGTAGGAAGGGCTTGTTCGTGTTTTTCCACAGCTTACTCTGCGTGAGTTCGGCGTCGTGACAGCCAGGTTCCCGACATAGCCGTTCACCGACACTGCCGTTGGCGTGGCCTTTTGCTGCTGTCCCCTAGGATCACCCGGTGGATCGAGCTCCGCCACCGCCTCTTCACGTCGCTCCAGAAGCTGGTCCCGGAGAGGGCGGGCGCCTCGGCTCGTGGCGGCCCGCGCGCCGTCGGCTGGTGCCCGCAGTCGGGGCCCGCTCTGGCGATCCCGGCGCCGACCGGCCGATTAGGCCACGGCTCGCTATGGAGGAGACGGGTCGTTTCGTGGGTTTCTCGGCGGTCTCCTGTCCTTTGGGTCCCCTCGTCGGTTCTCTTGAGTTTCGTAGCCTCGGGGTAATGTCAGCTTGTGGTTAACAGATGAGGCCCCTCCCCCCCCGGGGCTGATGAATAGACCCCGTGGGGCGCGAAACATTTTTTGTCATCGCGCGCGCCAGGGTGTCATCGCGGGCGCCGTCGAGGGGATCGTGTATGCACGGCAGCCTCTAGCCTTTTGCTTAGAAGTTGTGATAGGGATCGTATACCTCCGAGGCGAATTTTTTCCCCTCTCAGGTTGATTACTGACGTGCCACAGTCGTCGTCGTCGTCGCCGTCGTCGTCGTCGTCGTCGTCGTCGTCGTCGTCGTCGTCGTCGTCGACTACAGCGGGCTGGGCCTACGCAGCACCCCCCCCGCCCATGGGGCATCCGCAGTGCGTCGTCGTCGCCGTCGTCGTCGTGACGTCGTCGTCGTCTTCTTCTTCGTCGTCGTCGTCCTCGTCCTCGTCCTCGTCCCGTCCTCGTCCTCATCCTCGTCCTCGTCGTCCTCGTCGTCGCCGACGACAACGACGACCACAGCAGGCATACGCAGCACTTCTGCCACCCCCCATGGATCATCCGCAGTGCGTCGTCGTCCGCCGTCGCCGTCGCCGTCGCCGTCGCCGCTGTCGTTGTTGTCGTCGTCGTCGTCGTCGTGGTGGTCGTCGTCGTCGTCCCTGTCGTCGTCGTCGTCGCCGTCGCCGTCGCCGTCGTCGTCGTCGTCGTCGTCGTCGCCGTCGCCGTTGCCGTCGTCGTAGGACGTTGTAGTGGAGGGTGTGGGGGAGCAGGAAAAGGAGGAACGATTTCCGCCTGCCTCTTCCGCTCCTCCCCCTCTCTTCCGTTTCTTGCTTGTAGCCATGTCGGCACCGCCCGCCAGCCGTGGCGCCTCTTTCCCCCGCCTCCGCATTCTCTCCTGTCTGTAGCCGTTTGGCCCAGCCGCCCCGCTATATCGGAGGCGCTGCTGTCCCCCTCTGCTGAAACGGCGCCGCTTGCGTCGCGCCTGTCGCCCTCCTGAAGTCGGCCGGGCGTCGGCGCTAATCACCGGCGCTGCCGCCGTGTGTTTCTTTTTGGCGGGCGCCCCCCCCTTGCGATTCGCCAGCGCAGATGAACCATTATTTAATCACGCGCCCCCATGTTTTTGCTAATCGCAAGCTGACATTACGCTCCAACAACCCCGCCTCGCTTCGAATCGTCCCGAACGGCCGCCAGGGACCCGAGTTTTAAGCCGAAGACCAACAGAGAAATGGGTGTTGAGTTTTTTTTTAAAACAAGTTCTGCACCCTGGAGGCCATCCGCGGGCCCCCGCATTGTCAGAAAACGACGCAGGACGAATAGCTGGTCCTGGGGTGAGGCCCTGGGGTCCAGGATCCGCTTCCATCGGAGCCAGTTTGCTTCATGCCAGACGGTGGGGCCACCGAGGTGATGATTCTGTACTACGAGGACCCGCGCGGGCGGGGATGGGGTGGGTCGAGCGGGAACGGGTTTCCGCATCTTGGGCAGTTAATTTCATGTGAGTTTCCTGAAGGTCGGGTGTGCTTCGCTTGGGGCCAACGTCGCTTCATTTGCCACCCGCAGAAGCCAGAGGGGGGCATTTTTGTGCTCCCCTCGCCTTCCTCTCCCCGCGTGTCCCCTCCCCTTCTCCCCCGCCTCCACTCCGCCTTCTCCCCCTCTGCCCTGGGATCGCACTCGTGACCTGTGCCTCTCTTTCGTCCCCTCCTCCCCGTTCCGCTCTCTCCTTGCCCCTCTTCGCCCTTCCCCCGTGCGAGGAGATGAAGAAGGACGAGCAGGGCACCATCGGGAAGCTTGCAGAGTACTTCGAAGTGCCTTTGACCAAGACACCCTCCCCGCTCCTGCCCTGCTTTTCAGGAGTGAAGCGGTTGGACCCAAGAAAAGAGGATCACTTCTTCCAATGCAGGCCTGCCCACGGAGGTTCTCACTGTGCGCTGCGGGCTTCTCCGGTTGCTGCTAGTTCTGGCCACGGCCCAGAACATCTGGTATGAGACTCGTTTGGTTGGATGTTCCGTAGCATGGCTGTCCGTGCCTGATTCAGTCAGTCATGTTTGCTTTGGCCGAATTTGGCTTGAAACCCAGCACTAGTGTTGTAGCCTTACCTGAAAAAAACCAGCCCCAGGGCCCACGAGGGAGGCACCACTCGACGGCGTGTTCCGTGGCATCGTTTCGAACGTTGTGAATTACCAAGGCCATCGCTGATGGAGGGATGGTGGGATGCGGTCGTGGCCTAGTGCCATGTCGCCGCGGCGACGATTTCAGCGCGGGAATTCAATGTTGAACGCCGCTACAGGCCCACAATCGGCCGATATCGAACGACCTGCTCTATCGAAGAGCCGCCGATCACGCGGTGTCAGAGACCAGCGTTGGGGTCTTCACGACACGAACCTTCCGTAGAGACAGGGGGGAAAGAAGGGAACGGTTGATGGACAACATCCTGCACCTTTTATGCTAATTTTAGCGACACTCCCCGCGCCCCCAATTTCCTATTGGCGGCCTGCTCTGCGATGTGTCGATCTGCCGACTGGCAGCCGCCGCCGCCCCGCCCCGGGCCTCCGCAAGAGGCCGCCGCCGCCGAGGCCGCCGCCGCCGAGACCGCCGCCGCCGAGCCCGCCGCCGCCGAGGCCGCCGCGGGCTCGGCGCGGCCCGCGCGGTGCGCGCGGCGCGCCGAGGGCGCCGCGAGGGCGCCGAGGGCCGGCCATGGCGCCGCGCGCGCGCGGGGCGCGCGCGTGCGCGCGCTCGTGCGCGGCGGCGGCGGCGGGCGCGCTGCTGGCGCTCGGGCCGGCGCTTGCGCGCGACCAGCCGGGGGGGGCGCCAGCCAATGGGGCTCGCGCGTGGGGGGCAGCCTTCGGCAGAAACGCCGACGACGACGACGACGACGCAGCTCGAGCCTGCGGTCGCGGTGCCGACAGCAGAAGCCACCAGACGCACACGGCGGCAGGCCCTTCCCCCTGAGATCTTGGCGATTGAATTTTTTTGAGCCCGGCGTTCATGCCCAGCTTCGGGCCCCAGCATCCTCACAGATGGATCCCGCTTGAGAACTGGCGCAGAGAGATGGGGTCCGGGGATCCAGTCGTGATTTTGCACGCTGTCTCATTTTTTTTTGAGGCGTCGGATCTCAGGGGAGGTCGGAGGGCGGCAGCCATGCACCCACAGCTTGGCCACGCGCAGAGGGTGGGGAGGGGGAGGGGGGCAGGCTTCTGAGGAGCACCCCCCTGCTTCTCAGAGGGCGTGGGCCTTCTCTGCAGATGTAGGGCTGGCGGCTTCTAAGAAGCGGCCTCCTTCTAAGAAGCCTTTCCCCCTCCCCCTGTCCCCCTTCTGCGCGCCGCCAAGCAGCGACCTAGCCAGGCCCATCCTGAGCCCAGGATCGGTGTGTGTGTGTGTGTGTGTGTGTGTGTGCCTCTCTCGGCAAGGCCAGGGGAGGCACCCACAGCGACCTCGGCCAGGCGCATGGCGAATCGTTTTCTCGTGCCTTTGCTTCCCAAAGGCGAGAGATCTGCTGCTGCATCCAATCCTGAAGTTTTATCAGCAGCGCCGTTCGAAGCAGCAGAGCAGTTGCGAAGTGATGTTGCAGGACGAGCCCACTGCTTTGGGAGTCTTTGGCCCAACAGCGACCTCGGCCAGGCCCATCCTGGGCCCAGGATCGGTGTGTGTGTGTGTGTGTGTCGCTTGCTCCATCCGCCAGCGCAGAGTGATAACCGCCGATGCAAGATGTGTGTGTGTGTGTTTTTGTGTGTGTGTGCGTGTGTGTGTGTGTGTGTGTGTGTTGTGTGTGTGTGTGGGTGTGTCGGTGTGTGTGTGTGTGTGTGCGTGTGTGTGTGTGTGTGTGTGTGTGTGTGTGTGTGTGTGTGTGTGTGTGCGTGTGCGTGCGTGTGTGTGTGAGTGTGTGTGTGTGTGTGTGTGTGTGAGTGTGTACTCTTGCATGCTGGCCAATTCGCTTTTCGGTGCCCTGGTCTAGCTCTATCGCTGGTGCAGACAACTCTGCCTCGTCGCCGACGAAAAAAAGTGTGTGTGCCTCCCTGGGCAAGTCCTGGGGAGGCGTGCGCAAACGGTTATCGAAGACGCCTACGGCGAATCACCGCCGCCCCCTGCCTTTTTGGAAGCGCCTATGTGGCCGAACGTTGAGGCCAGACCTGCCAAGCTATCGGACCACGTGTTCCCCGAATCGGTTTGGAAAGCCTTCGGGGAACACGTGGGCATCTTGAAGGTCATCTTGGCCGTCTTGGAGGCCTCTTGGGCAAGCTTGGGCGATCTTTGGGGCTTTTTGGGCCGTCTCGGGCCAGCTTCGAGCCAACTTCGGCCATCTTGGTGGGTTCCTGGCACGTCTGAAGCCGTCGGAAGCCGTTTGGGGGGCCTCTATGGGCCGACTTGGGGCCCGCTTGGAATGCTCCAGGGCCGTCTTGGAGGCCATCTTGGGCGTCTGGGAGGCCATCTTGGGCGTGTTGGAGGCCTCTTGGGCCCTCTTGGGGCCCTCTAGGGGCCATCTTGGAGGCCACTTGGGCCATCATGGGGCTCTCTTGGGGGCCTCTTGGGCGATCTTGGGGGCTTCTTGGGCCGTCTCGAGCCGTCGGAGAGCCGAAAAGGCGCAAATGCCAGAATCCTTCAAAAACCAAGGAAAAATCAATGATTTTGGCCTCTTCGGACTCTCCTGGAGGACCTCTTGGAGGCCTCTTGGGCCGTCTGGGAGGCCTCTGGGGGGCCTCTTGGGCCGTCTTGGGCCGTCTTGGACTCTCTTGGGCCGTTTTGGAGGCCGTCTTGGACCATCTCGGGCGGACTTGGAGGCCATCTTGGGCCATCTTCGCGATTTTTTGAGGATGTCCCGAGCGAAACGGCCGTTTTTTGGAGGATTTTTTTCCGGATTGAGGTCCTTTCGGCTTCCTCCCGGGACCCCGGCGGGACGTGCCGGAGCCCACTGGGGGAGTTCTTTTGGAAAAAGAACCAAAACCAAAACCTGAAACGTCCAGCACGCCGTGCACCCCTGCAAGCAGGGGGCGGCGGACCCAGTGGCCTTCGGCATATCCCGCCACCGTGCCTGGGCTGTGGTTCTGTGGTTCAGAGGCGTCTTGGACGCACGTGAGGGTCTTTCAGGATGCCTTTCAAGGGGCTGTTGGAAGGCTCCTGGGGGCTTCTGGGGGGCCTCTTGGGGGCCTCTTGGGGGCCTCGTGAGCCCCAGGGGGGCTCTTGGGGCTATCTTTCTTGGGGCGGAAGGCTCGAAATCCGTCCGTGTTCTCCCGCTTGGGCCCCTCTTGGGGCGTGGCGCTATTGGAGGCTTCTTGGGCTGTCTTGGAGCGTTGAAATTTGAAAAGCGCGAGAAAATTAGACGCTGGCAGAACAGGCGGAAACTCATCGATTTTGGCCTCTCATGACCCTCTTCGGGGTGCTCTTGTGGCCCCCTTGGAGCTTCTTGGGGGCCTCTTTGGCTGTCTTCAGGCTATTTCGAGGATCTGGGGACGATCTTGAGGCGACTCGAGGTTCTCTTGGTCCGTCTTCGCGGCCTCTTGGGTCCCTCTGGGCCCGTCTTGGGGCCCTCCTGGCTTCAGCAGAAGCGCGCGACACACCCCAAGAGCTCCCGGAATTCCAGAGAACGCCCGGAAAGCCGGGTGTCCTGGCCCTCAAGAGTCCAGAGTCCTGGCTGCAGCAGCAGTAGCACAGCTGTGAGCCTTGGGGCACTCTGCGCTTTGGAGGCGTGCACACTTCAGCTAGATGGGCCCAGGAGGGGCTTCGCCGGGATCGGTGCGTGCGAAGAGTCGGCGCCGACCGGCGGCGGTGGGAGTTCACGGCCGCGAGGCGCCCTCGGGTCTCGGGGCCTGGCGGCCGCCAAGGGCGCCTCGCGACCTCAGGGGGCTGCGAGGCATGAAGCGATGGTGGGGAGGAGAGCTGAGGCTCGAGCGAGCGTCGGGCCAATCTCTTGAGCAGATTCGGCGGCTTAGCATGGTCGGTGTCTCCCCCTTGGATGAGCAACGACGTGACGATGAAGATCACGATGTAATCGAAGGATATTCATTCCCAGAAGAGTGCTGCCCGAGTCAGCCTGAGTGCCGGAGCGGTGATTGTTCCACTCTCCGACGGAGCTTGATTCAGTTGTAGCACGGACGACTGGCCACGACCCACAGGCAATCGCGACACAGTCGCTCAAAGTACAACTTGTTGGAGCCATCAAAGCTTGAGCAAGCCAGGTTCTCCCCCACTCCCTCTCCCCCCTGGCGAGCCTGCGTTCCCCCCCCCCCTGGGGAGCCTGCGTTCCCCGCGTTCCTGCGGGCTCCTCAAAGCCTGGCCGACCGATCGGGCGGCTTGACATGATGGTCGGTTTCCCCCCCTTTAGATGAGCAGCTGCCTGTCTTGATACGCACGTCTTGAAACGCAGCACGTGCCGTCTTTAACACGTCTGACGCACGTGTTGGCCCACATTTTGGCTGACGTACCGCGCCAGAGCTACGTATTCAATCTACGTGTTGAGCTCCGTGTGAACACGCTGCGGGATGCGTGTTGCGTATCGGGGTAGCTAAGACAACGACGTGACGATGAAGAACGCGATGAGCAAGCTGAGTTTCTCCCCCCCCGTCTCTCCCTTGAGATCTGAGCGAAACAACATTAAACATCACAAAACATCGCGGCCAGAGCCCTGGACCCCATCTTTGCACATATTATTCCGAGCCCGATCGATCTGTGAGGGCCCCCAGGGCCCAAAACCGGTCGAAAACGCCCAGCTTGAAAAGATTTCAACGCCCGGATCTCAGGGGGTCTCCTCCCGCCCCCGGCGATCCCGCGTTCCTGCGTTCCTGCGGCCTCCCCGTGGCCCAGCCGCGCCGTCAGCGCCGTGCGGCC